CTGGGAGTTAGGCTCTTCTGAACTAAAATATGTAGCCTGAAAGTCTCACTGAGCTGCATCAAGTATGAACAAGCAGAGGCAAAGTCCTCATCTTCTTCTCAAATGTTACATTTTGGGATTTTGTTTCAACTAAAGCTCTTGTTTTCACAGTAATTTGCTTAAACTCACTCACGACTGATGACTATTACATGCACATGATTTCAGCTGAAAGAAAATCCTTTATCCATTTACTGGAATAGTTTTTGAATGTCTCAGGTTTTACAAAATTAGGTGAACCCTTCTCAAAAGTAAGGGACTATTTGTTGAAGGAATGTTTATCGCCTGCCGTCATTCTTGTCAGACTTTTAGATTTAAATCATCTTGTGTTGAAAAGGAATAAAGTCAAAGACCTTTTGGTCAAACCTTGTAAATGGCGTTATGAATGATCCGTCCATTTAAACATTTTCTTTACCCACTTTTCCGTTGAGGATTGTAAAGGAGCTGGTGCCTACGACAGCAGTCATTGTGGGAGAGGTGGGGTATACCATGGACAGGTCAAAAGTCCATTACAGAATAGAGACAAAGGAGAGGAGCATTCACACTCTCACCTAGAGACAATTTAGTTACCAATGAACTTATGCATATGTTTGGTCTGTAGGAAGAAACCAGAGTACTGAGGAAAAACCTACTCGTGCACACAAGAACATGCAAACTCCACCCAGAAATGCCACAGGCGAGAGGCGAACTTGCAACTTTCTTCCTGTGAGGTGCACCTAACCACTGCCTGAACCGGGCTACCCATGTAATATGAAACAATGCACTACAGTACTTTACATTATACAATACTACACTACAACACTATGCCAATGCATGAATTACAATTTAATATAAAATGCAATACGCTACAGTACTTTAAAATATATGTTGGTATAAGTATAATTTGGGGACATTTTTGAGCTACCGCTACCCCAAATTTAAATCAATATCTGAGAAACTGAGTGAATTATAGCAATTTTTGTGTTGTCTAATGTCTATTAGCTTTGCCAACCATCTTGAATCAGGTTGACTTCTTAAGGTAATCAGTTGTAGATGTACATACATTGATTACTTAAGTTTTTCATTAAAATTTGTCTAGTGGAACATAAGATATTTTGCTACAGACAGGGTTGATGCCAACCATTAGAGCCAAAGTTAAAAAAAAAAACAACTAAAAACACTGCATTGTGTAGTTCTGTAGAGCTCATATGTGTTGGAGACAATGCTCAACCACCAGCACACCAAATTCTAACTTAATATATGTTAAACTGGCTGAGTTAGACATTTTTGTGTTTGGGAAGGTGGCCATTTTGAATGGGGCTGACTCCCAAATATGAACAATGGTTTCGTTTTGAATCATCCATCTTGTCCATCCATCCATCATCAAAGCAGCTTGAGCAGGGAGGCCAAGGCAGCCATCTCTTCCAGCTTTTCTGGGAGGACACCAAAGTGTTCCCAGTACAAACAGAGTCTCTCCAGTGTGTCCTGGGTCTTCCCTGGGGTCTCCTCCCAGTCAGACATGCCCGAAGCACCTCCCTAGGGAGGCACCCATGGAGCATCCTGACCAGATGCTTGAACAAATGATTTAATCTCAAGTTTTTAATTTGGCTACTCTTGGGGAAAAAAAGTTCAACAGATGATCCAGACTATATTGTGGTCCTCTGATGATCAACTTTTATTCATATTTTGAAAAGCTAAACACAAGAAAGGTAGAAAATTATTTTCACAAAAATATTTCCAGCTTTAGATTTTAACTGTAAACAACACATGAAGTGGTGACATGTTTATTTTTGCCTTTAAACAAAAAATATCTTGGTTTTTGGATTTTAAAAACCTCAACACACTGTGAGAAACCTGAAAAGTTATTTTTAACCAGGATTTTTCTCGTTAAAATTATCCCATACATTTCTATGATTAGTGGGTTTCACCTTTACACTTTCGTCAGATCTGGGGACATAATGTGCTGCAGAAAATCCAGTTCGTGCATTCTGTGTTTCTGGACTGAACTGCGGCAATTAATCGCTTGTTACCGAAGTGTCCAAATAGTTTAGGGAAAACCCTCTAGCTGATTTATGATTCGGAAAAAAAACCTTATGCCAGGAAGTAGAAAGAGAAATATGCAGTTTTCGCTTCTTGTCAAGTACAAACCTCCAACAAGTTAAAGACAAAGGATCTGAAAGTGCTTCTGTGCTGTGGTAACCACCGTTAGGTGCTTTTTGATGCTTCAGTAAGATTTCAGTCTTAGGCAGGATTATTTATTCTGTGTAAAAAAAAAACTCAAACTTGTAAAAACAGCAACTGTTGCCATGATATGATTGAAATATTTAATGTATTTGTAGTTCTTTGCTTTTTTTCCCACCCCCACAAGGGAGTTTAGTTGTATCAAAGACTGAAACCAAAATGTGCAACAAAAATTTAATCATTTTAACAAAGTTGTTTACTTTCAGACTGAAAAGTATTTTCCAAATACTAGAAGAGGCGAGAAATTAAAAGTCAAAGTTTGAAAAGTACCATCTAAACATCTTCTTTTTTTTTTAAGATCATAGAAAATTGATGTTTTAGTTCCATTTCTATTTCTGTAGTTTCTTACTTTCAATGTACTGATTAAATACAGAGGTTCTGGTTTCATTTTAAATAGATTTCTTTTGTACATTTTAGCTGGTTTTACTTCCTGTCTGAACTTCAGATCACACTTGAGTCCCATTAGGTTGATTAGTTTGTAATTAGGCTTCTGACTAGATCATGGTCATGATTTTTAACCAGTCTGGTTCTGTGGATTCACATCATTATATTTTAGATATTTATCATCTCTGTCCTGCAGCACCTTTCAGTCATTTTTCAGTTTTATGAACTTGTTTCAACTTTGACTCTTTTGAGGAGAGCCAGCACAGCTGGAAGAAAAATATGAATGCGTTTGTTTTTCTTAAAACAAAAATACTCTGCCCTACAGCAACACATTTAATGCAAACCATGACAAAGATGCATGATTTTTACAGGAATTTATTGTACATTAAAACATTTCCTACAGCCCTCCAACAGCAGAAGCACACCGGAGTGCTTTTACACAACGATAGGTGTGCAGACTGCAGAGGCCGTCATCAAAAGAAACAATTAGAATAATCATTAAAAGTGTCATAGTAATGATCAGAATCATCTTGTTTTTTTACCAATAGCATCACCACTTAATATTCACAATGAATAAAGACCACACTGAGGTCCGCGACACGGCAAACGGGTCAAATTCTGTTGAGACCTGCAGGAAGGAGCAGCTGGTGGAGATTTATTTTGTAAGGAAAATTTAGAGGAAAGGAGGATTACAAAATAAATCCACGAGCACATGTGAGGGTGCATGTCTTTAGTAAATTGTGTCTATTTGTGACATAACTCAGGAAACCTCACAGGCTCCAGCAGATCTGTGCACGTTGAAACAGACAAAGGGGAACTCTGCAGGTGTTCACAGTCCGACCACGGTTTGCTTCCTACTGCACATACAGGAAGTACTTCCTGTGAAAGAAAAGGGCCCAGCCCCCGTTTTTAATATAATAAATCAACAACACATACAAATGGAGGGGGAAAACATGAAGAGGAAAGTTGCTGCTTTTGTTTGTTCATTGTAGAGTTTCTAAAGAGCATCTTGTTGATATCTACCTAATCTTGAAGTATAGTGCAATCAACACTTTTGGCCACTATGTGTTCAAAGGACAAAATTACCCAAAGCTGGACTTAAAATAAGAGCTAACACACACACACATACACACCTCAGTATTCTGGCTTGGCTGAGTGACTCCAGGCTCTCACAGCAGATTTCTTTGTAACATATAAAAAGAGCACTTGAGGCACGTAGGGCAGGAACGTAAACATGACTGAGCCTCGGGAGGAGTGATTTTATCATGCATCGCAGCAGCAGATGCAGGAATGCAGACACTGAAATGCTCAAGTTTACCCACTCATCTCCATTTTATCAGATAATTGCCATTTCCCCAGTAACATTCAGTTTAATCCTGCCTAATAAAAGATGTGATCTAAATAAGAGAGCAGTTGGATTTCATATACTGTAATCCTGAGTGTTTCCCATCTGAGACGTTATGCTTTTTAAAACCAAACCTCTCCTTTCTCCTTTGACGGTATGATTTAATATTAACTTGGTAAAACGACAAACTAAAATAAAGACTGAAAGCAGAGACGCATTTCACTCAAACAAAGGAAACGAGCAAAATGAGAGTCAACGTGAGGATAAAAGGTAGATTTGAGGACAAAGAACAGAAACTTCAACATGAACCAGCAGGACAAGAAACTCATTCCTATAAATCTTTTATATACAAACACCAAAAAGTCCTTGCTCTGATATTAGCAGCATATTTCTGCACCACCTCATCCCCACTCCCTAATAAGTCTGATCAGTTTAAATTAGCACTGGATGGACTCATGAGATGCTGATACGCACAAACATGAGCTTTACTGGGTAAGACGAATGGGAGAAACTTACATTGGTTTTTTTTGTTTGTTTGTTTTTTTAAATATGATTTTCTATTTTTTTTAGCTTGGGAAAGTCAAAAATGCAAATATTTTACCACAAAATGTTCACAGATTTGAAATGATCAGAGTAAATTGTGTGGCTGAACAAAACCCACAAATGGCTGTGCTGTCAGTCACTTTCCACAAAGACAGCAAGGACAAGACGATAGTGGAGAAAAAGAAGGGGCTGTTTTTCATCCTACTCTTGTTTTCCGTCACTTCTGACAAGACTTGAGCTTGATCGGGAGCAGGATGCCTGGGAGTGTGCAAGGTGGGCTTTAAAAAAAGAGACCTTTTATTTTTTGTCTGTTTTTCTCTCATTGCTGCCACAGACCTTGGAGAAGCTCCGGCTCCCCACTGTCTACATTTAGAGCCATCTTTATAAATAAAAAAAATTGCAGAATGAAGCCCAAGTGCAAACCATAACTTTAAGACAAAGTTCAAACGCAACATGAAACAAGACTCCTAATGACATGGACCTGAAAGGAAAGAAACGTTTAAAAACACCTCATTGCCCATTGTTTTTTAACACGCATGGTCCTGTGAATTCACCTGTGATGGATCCTTTTGTTTGGTACTTTAGCAGCCACAGCACGTTGCTCTTAAAGACGGACCGTGTTGATACGCAGCGGCTGCACGTTCTTGCCGTTTGCATGACTCTGGCCGGGGCTGAAGTACGGGAAGATTTTGGTGGTGAATTTCTCTCGGTACGTGTAGAGCCAGGACATGTTGTCCGCATTATAGAAGATGAGCAGGCCTTTCGGGTAGTGCAAGAACACCCCCACCTTCTCTAGCTTGCTCTTGACGTTGAGGCGGGTCCAGGGCTCGGTGCAGGCACTGTACTGGTTGCCGTCGTGCATGACGATGCAGTAGAAGCCGCGGCTCGGTTGGATCTGGATGCTGCCTTTGCGACTGACCGTCTCGTTGGCCACGCCGATCATCCACTGCGTCTTTTCAGACACCATCACCTCCCAGTAATGAACGCCGGACACGAAGCCCTCCGCCCCCAGGACGGACACCTCCACATCGAAGCGTCGAGGGGAGTCCTGAAGAGGCTGTGGGTGGAGATTCCCATAGGCCACGATGGTGCAGTCGTCTGAGAGGATTAGTCTTTGGTGAGCTGTTATGGGGTCAAGGGTCAATGCTGCTGGCACTGAAAGCAAGAGGCACACAACAGGAGAGTCAGCATTTAGCACTTCAGTAATTTAGTGCCCATGTGACTGACTTTGTTTTAATTAAGACCAGCAGATCAAAATGAATGACTCAGCTAAGAGCAGATTATCTGTAGACCTCCTGTGTTTCTGTCAAGCTGTTGTGTCAAAATATTGCTGCAGGGGCAAATAAAATGCATCCAAGTTGCTCAGTTACTTTACACACACACACACAAAAAAAATCCATATATAAAATATTTCCACTAATTTCACAACATTAAAATAAAAAGGTTTCTCTTTTTTTAAAGTTTCTGAAACGTAACCAGTTGTCTGAACTGTCCCATGCATTATTTATCATTATGCATAAACAACAGGTCACCCAAACAAAGTGTTCTCCCGAGTTCTTGAAGTTAGTGCAGTTTCAGCCATCTCCACTCACTCCAGGTGTAAACAACACAGTGGAGCAATAATTACAGAGACGGGAGGAGCAGCTTTGGCTCACAGGTTCGCAGGAGGTCTGGGTTTATGTGCAATTATGTGCTCTGGGGGAGGATTCGTACTCAAACCTTATGCAAGTGTTCAGTGTTTTGGAAAGAAAAAAAAATCAGCATGCAAAACTTGTTTAGGGGAAATGTCTGGCAACCTTCCAGCTGAGAGGACAACACCGTTCACCGCTCAATGACAACTCCAGTGTTTGTTACAATCAAATCATTAAATATTCAGAGTTCTTGTTGGGAGCAAAATGAAGACATGTGCAGGTGTAAACACACAAAGGCAAAAAGGTATTTCTTGCTAAACATGAGAAGGTTTAAAAATATATGTATTTGGTCGTTATCCCACTAACTGAACTAACTGTACGAGGGCTGAAGGATAATGGGAGAAATGTGTTTAAAATGTCTCTGGTTACTGCAGCTGATGGACTTTAGCCAATTATTTAATTTGCCAGACAGTGATTTCTCCCCTAAAATGAAAATTATAAAATAATTTAAAAAGTCACGGCGAATGAGAACCGACAAATTTTAAAACCTTTGAGTAAAGCATTTAAGACCAACTTACAAGTTATTTAATTAACTCAAGACATTTTAAGGCCTTAATTATAGATGCATAAATTTAAGACTTTAAGACTTTAAGGACCCTGTATTTATATAAAATAAATCTTTCTAGGTTCATAGGTGTGCAAACTTCTAAATTTACGTGTTTGAAACCCCTCTTGATTTTATTTCAGCACTGACTTTTCAGATGTGTTTCTATTAGTCTGACACAGGTTGACTTACTCCACTTTTCTCTGCAAAATTATTCAAAAATCACTCAAACTGAGAGAGCATCTCTTCTGTGACTCCTCTTCACATCATCCTGATTTTTTTTTTTCAAGTGGGAACAGGTCAGAGCCCTCCAGAGTGATGATCTTTAGCTGAAGCCTTTCCATTTTGGATTTGGATGAGCGTGTTGGCCTGTAGTGCTAAAAAGCCAAAAAGACCATTACATGGACTGATTCTAGTTAAAAAATTAAAAACTAAAATTTGATGCTAGAATCAGTGTGTTTCATAGTGAGGTAAACATCTTGTATTTGTGCCAAGAACATTTTTTATTATTATGGCCACAACATTAAACCTTGTTTCATCAGAACGTAGCAAATGTTTCCACATCTTTAAAGGGAGAATGGAAACAAGACTCCGTCCGTCCGTCCGTCCGTCCGTCCATCCACCCACCCACCCATCCATCTTCTGCTTATCCGGGGTTGGGTTGCGGGGGTAGCAGTTTAAGTAGGGAGGCCCAGACTTCCCTCTCCCCAGCCACTTGGTCCAGCTCCTCTGGGGGAATCCCAAGGCACTCCGAGGCCAGCCGAGAAACAGTCCCTCCAGTGTGTCCTGGGTCTTCCTCTGGGTCTCCTCCCGATGGGACGTGCCCGGAGCACCTCACCAGGGAGGTGTCCAGGGGGCATCCTTACCAGATGCCCAAACCACCTCAACTGGCTCCTCTCAATGTGGAGAAGTAGTGGCTCTACTCTGAGTCCCTCCCAGATGAAAGAGCTTCTCGCCCTGTCTCTAAGGAAGAGCCCAGACACCCTGCAGAGAAAACTCATTTTGTCCGCTTGAATCTGTGATTTCGTTCCATCAGTCACAGCCCAAAGCTCATGATCATCGATGAGGGTAGGAATGTAGATCGAGCGGTAAATCGAGAGCTTTGCCTTTTGACTCGGCTCTCTCTTCACCATGACAGACCGGTGCAGCGCCCACTTCACTGCAGACACCGCACCTATCCGCCTATCAATCTCTTGCTCCATTTTTCCCTCATTCATGAACAAGACCCCAAGACACTTTGTGCAGGACCTCCTCCCTGATGCAGAGAAGGCACTCTACTATTTTCTGGCTCAAGAGCATGGCCTCGGATTTGAGCCGGAAAAGGAAACAAGACACCTTTGTGCAAAATCTAGCTGTACTTGGATTTTTCCATTGCAGTAAGTCACCATTCCTCAAAAATACAAATAAAGCAAATGTGATGTACAGTATAACCAGCTTTTTGACTTTTTACTGTCTTGTATAGCCTTGTTAGGGACATGCTCTTGACACTAATTGAACAAACGCTGTACAAAGTAAATTAGAGCTTTTAAGATTTTGTAAGTTACGTTTCTGATCAGCTAAGTGGATCGACAGTAGCTCCATAAAAAGTTAATAATGGGAAACGATTGATCTACTTATTTAGCTATAAGTAAGAGAGAAAATAACCATCATTTAGTTGTCTCCAACCACACGACCCACATGTATGAGTTGTACTTTGCATTTGAGCAATGCTCACTTACCTGGTGAAATGTCCTGGAAGAGTGACTTCCATATTGTGTACTGTAAGGGCCCCATGTATTTGGACGTTGGGAAATCCTCATATGTCAGATTGGTCTCATGAATCTTCCCTTTAACCCTGGTTCAGAAAAACAGATCGATGAAGCACTAGAAATCTGCTCGAGTATTTTTTTAAACCAACTATTGTCTCATCTTGTTCAGGTCTGGATTACTGTCAACAACAAGTTTGCAAAACTGCTTTATTTTTTTGTTTGTTTGTCCCCATTCAGTCCCAAGTAATGACTTAAACATTAAGTAAAAACCCTTCATCAAATTATTTAGTGTTCATTGACGGCAAACAATTCAGATCATGGGACTAAAGGAGCACTCAATTTTCAGAACAAGGTAGATTTTGTATCTTGATTGTGTCCCATGAATCCATCCAATGGCTGGAACTGTTTGGGGTGGGAAGGCAAATGCAAAGCACAAACTGGCACATGTCAATCAAGATCCAATCTCCTTTGTTCAGAAGTTAAAATGTTGAAACTGTTAAAAATGATTCACATTTATTTTGCTAAGTGTCTTTAGGTTTGTTGTTAGAATTTTGAGACAAGTTCTGGTAGACCTCAGATTTCTCATTGGTGTTGTGAGAATTACCGCAAGACAATCATTCAAGGAAGACCCAGCTGACGTTGACCATTGGTGTGTGTCCTTTAGCCAACTGTTTGTTAAACTGTAGATTAAGATAAAAAGGGGGGTTGAGTTTAGAAGTGAATAGACCAGCTGGAATAATCAACACACACCAAGGCCTTTTATCAAATACTCCATCTGTCTGACATGTATCAGTACAAACATAAAAAAGTAGTAAAGGTTTGCCATAAAATAATTGTTCATAATTCTTGAGAAAATGAGATGGAGTCCTGAAAGACTTCCCACTTTAAACCATTTCAGTTGTGAGGTGACACTAGTGATTGTTCTTATAACATTCAACCTTTATTTATACAGGTTAGTCTCATTGAGCCTCAAGGACTCATTTACAAGAGAGACCTGTTTAACAGATTAAGTGCTTGTATTCTCAAAAATGGTGATTCTAATACCAAGTCCTTGTGCAGAGAAAATAAACTAGAAAACCAAGCATGCAATGTGATCAGGGCAGAATGATCAGGTTAGGACCTACCCTGTATCCCTTCCTGTAGTCTGAATTTATTTCCTAGACTTTAAGCTTTGTGTTCATGCATTGGTTTCTTTAGTGACTCGACTTTATGAATTACATTGTTCTTATCATTTTCAACTAAACCAGGTTCCCTCCTGTATTAATACAAAAACAACTTTGCACATCAGCGCTGGCTGATTTGATTTGAGTAAAACAGTATTTTAAAAGTACTGCACTGTAATAAAAAAGATCTGTGAGCTCAGTGAGATTTGTCTGGTTGAATAAAGCTTAAAAATGAATATAAAGAATGAAAAGCATTTGCTTACTCATGCAAATCTTGATAGGTTTAGAATTAAACAAATCATTTTCTGTCAGACAAAAAAGAACTACCACACAATCACTAAACCTAGTATGACGAATAAAAAAAACAATAATAATCAAGCCTGATTACATACTTCATTCCCTAAATGTAAGTATATTTTGAACCTTTTCAGTATCACCGATGTTCAGTTTTAATCCACTTTGAAATATTAAACTGTTCAATCAAATTGTCCTTAAGGCCAGCCCCCTGATTAGACATTACAGCTGGTTTATTTCAGGCCTAAAGCTCCATCTGTTCAGGGATTACTTCATGCTGTTGCTCAAATCTGTACTTTCTCCAAAATGTCAGCAGCTTCAGCACCCTTTGAACACACATTTAAAACACTGAAATGCATCTTATCAATTTAAATGCAATATATTCTCAGTAAACCAAATACTTTTTGGACATTGCTTCACAAAGCAGGTCACACACACCTCTCTGAAGTTACAGCTACGCCCTCCAGGAAGTCGTGGCGGCCCGTCTCGTTGAGACGCTCCTGCAGGATCAGGATGCCCTCCTTGACATCGCGCAGCTGCTGACTGTAGCTTTGGATCTTGTGCTCGATGTCGGTCAGCTTGCGGGCCGTGTCCATCTCCAGCTCCTCCAGCATGCTTTTCTGACGCTCTCGGAGGAAGCGATGAAGCCGCTCGAACGCATCACTGATGGTTGCGCGCAGACTCTTTGCTGAAGACTGCAAAGAAGCAGCAAATGATTGCTCTCTTAGAAAACCTGAATAAATACTATTCAAAGGACTGCAGTCAGGTGAGTTTGTTGTTAGAAAAGCTTTCAAGGGCATGTACAGTACTCTAAACCGTGTTAATATTACATTAAAGGTAGATATTGACTTTAAGATGCTTCTGTGAGCTGTGTGTAAACAAGCCTTGATCATTTTCAATCAAGAAAATAGTCTTTTAAACCACTGTGTCAAGGAGAGGTGATTACGCCAAAATAAACGGCGACAGCAAAAATGACCTCTTCAAAGAGTCCGAGGACAACTTGAGTGGGAGGAGAAGTGGACAGACAAAGAAGCAGAAAGCCTTAAAGAGTAAACTTAGCAGTTTATAGAAACATCCAAGGAGCAGGCATTTATAATTCACAGCTAAAGAGGAAAACGAGTAACATGACATCAAACAGAATTGATCATTCAAGTGTCGGCATTCGGAGGAAGACAGACTAAAGAGAAGGCGTTTGAAAAGTCATTCACACTTTTTCTTATTAAACGTTCTCTTTACGATAGTTGCTGCGATATCTGAATTGTTGATAGATTCAAAGGACATTGTCTCATCAACAAACAGCACCTCGAAACGTGGACAATTTCGGTTTTGCAAACAGCGATTTCAGATCCATATTCTATCTTCCACCACGGACTCGATCTTTAAAGTGGCAGCATTTAAGTGCTGCGATTCACACTTTAATCTTCTCCCCCAGAAAATACAATCCCTCTTCAACAAACTGCAGCAGTGTTCTTGCTGTTCGTCACAGTTATACAGCTATTCTTATTCTTCTGGTGGGAGCCTATTCGTGACGACAATTTCTCAGCAAACCTGAGCTCTGTGACGTGAAGGTGGGGATGCAACGCAATCCTGCTTGGTTAAGAGTTGAAAACTGCTGGTGTGAAATAGGAGGATGACTGAGCAGACAAGCCATCAGTCACACACAGACATGTTTGTCGCTTTGGCCCAGCAGGTTGTGATGGCACCGAGCGGGTGTCTGCTGCCTTTGGAGACAGCAGGCTGGCCATTTTTAACAGGAGTGTGTCATTATCAGGTCACTTCCTGGTGGGCATATGAATTGTACACAAAAGCCAAAGACTGAAATCAAAACTTAAAAGAACCAAAATAGAGGGACTTATCTTGATGTTGGTTTTACACATTTTTTAGAAGCACTGCCGGTTGTATAGTTTCTGCAACATGACATCACCCAAAACAAAATGACCTTAGGCAACCACTAATTGAACAAAATAAAGAGAAAAGCCTGGGAGACATTTCATTCTCAGCTCCCTAAATGCATCAAAGATCAATGCGGTGACAGCGCGGCCCACATCCAGGAAAAGCACTCTGTGCAAATGGATGTAAAACTAATGAGATCAGCTCATTTCCAATGAGCTGAAAGATCTACATGTTGCAGTTGGAGCGAGTCGATAAAACAGACAGGGCTGACTGTTTCTGTCAGAGCCGAGGCAGAACAAGAAGGTGAGCGACGCAGCAACATCACGCAGGAGGTAACGCCGCTGGCTGTGACGCCTTCAGTGATACATGGCTGGTCAATAGCTTTGGTGTCCCTACAGGAGAGAAGACAGGTGTGTCTCTATGCACGAGCGTCTTTGAGGGGTTTAAAGACTGACATGTTGAGCAGTTGCCTCTGGTTCAACGATTAAAATGGTGCTGGAATCAAAGCTAGTGAATCAGTCAACGTCAGAACTTTTAAGACGATAAAAGAACGAACAACCAAAAATAAAAGGGCATACAATTAATGAAATTGTCATTAGCTTCTGCTCGTTTAAAGCATTTTGTCATTTTAAAGCCCAAAGATTTCTTGCTTTGATAAATATCCACACCACTCTGGCAATAGCTGTTGTATTTTTATTTACTTAATAAATTAACATGTTTATTATCCTAATTAACTTGAAAATATTTCATTGGCATCTCATTTTTTTCCTCGTACTTAAACATTATCATTCGTTTGAATTCCAAAGAACAGAGACCGGGTAAGTCAGCTGTTTATCATTCAATGCTCCTATCTGAAAACCAGCTTTTTTCATCTGTCAGTGAAAGACCGCCATGGTTGGTCCTTTAGATAGGTGAATAAAGTAGTTAAGAGTAAAAATAACTTGGTTTTGTTGTTGTTTAAGAAACTATAAAACCCAGACCCAATAAAGATAAAACTGCAGAAAATAAAATTTGCACAAACAGTAACTTATTTGCATATTTTAATAATCTATGGATTTCCGCTCCTTCTCTGCAAAGTTACAACCTCTTCCACAAGCGCCGACTGTTCTTTAGAAAAGTTAGTTGGAGGTCCTCTCTGTGGTGTGTTCAATTTCATTTTTTTTTTTTTTTTTCAATAGAAGCTGGGAACATTAAGGACAGCAGTGGCCCTTTCTTTGCCAGTACTTTTAGAAGTCTTTCTGATGTATAACAGCCTTTCTTAAAGGAAGCCTAAAAAAAACAAGACATTGGGTAAGTCTATTTCTACAAAGAACGAGAGCAGTGCCCCATTCAACCGTCTTTGAGTACTTGAAAAAGTGCTATACAAATAAAATGTATTATTTATTTATTTATTATTATTATTATTGTTATTATTATTGCAGCCATGAGGTTCCTTGTTGAACATTTCTGAGCTGATGTGAGAGCACTGAGTCCTCTTCTAGCTGATCACAGCTAGAGCCATGACGTTAAACAAAAATTATTTCAGGCTGTGCCTAAAATAAAGCTATCTGTAACCCATTTTATATGTGCATACATTAATCAGGAAAGTTTTAAATTAATGCAAAAGTATTTTACTTGAAAAAGTCAATACAGTAGTCCCTCACTACTTCGCAGTTCGACATTCGCGGACTCGCTCTTTAACAGTTTTTCAAAGATTGTCAACTTTAATATTACTCACGTGATTGGGACGGTGTGGGATAAAAAAAAATTTACTGGAAAAAAATACTTCAGACAGGCGCCGCTATTTTCTAGTTTTCTTTCAATAAGCCTACACTGTAACACCAGCCAAAAGGAACTACACTACCCAGAAGCCAACAGTGCTGCCGGCCGCTACTTTCTGCTGAGGGAAAGCTTTGCAACACACATCTATGCTATTTATTAATCTCACAGAACTGGCAGAAAAGTCGCAAATAATCCTGACGCTGAACTCGTCCTTCAAGTTCTGTCTACACTGGTGAGGACCTGGGCTGCAGTTGATCCACACTCAGTGTGACCCGGATCCTGGGGGCTACAGGGGACAGACAGTTGTGGGGTTCAGCTTGATTCTGGTCGCGAGGTGCTGGACTACATCCTGGGCAGCCTTGCGCGCAGAGTGTCATTCCTGGAGCGGCAGCACATGCACATCAACCTGGACGGGGCTGTGGGCGTGTCATGCTGCAGGTTAGCTGAACTGAACCCAACCAGAACAGAGCTTCTGCAGAGCTGGTGAGTACTCATAAAACTTTGCAGTAGCTACTGTACAGTACACATACATATGTTGTTAAAATTATGTAGGTTTAGTAGTTTAGAACATTGTAAGAGTGTGTGAAGGGTTAATAAAGCCATATATATATATAATATATATATATATATATATATAT